TTTTGGGCCTTACTCTGAATTGTGTCCTGTCACCACAAGGTGTATGAACAAGGATGCTGGTGCTGCCTTCAGTGTCACGGAAGCAACAGAACGATGTCAAACCCAAGACGTGAAATGCTGAGATCTCCATCAACAGGTGACCACCCAGTTCATGACAATCCAACATGATGTGGAAGCTGATGGAAAAAATGAGGTACATATATATATTGATGTTACAACCGTCCCATGTTAGAAATAAGAAAGAAATTGGCCAGGCACGGTGGCTCACGCCTGTAATCCCAGCACTTTGGGAGGCCGAGGCGGGCAGATCACGGGGTCAGGAGTTCGAGACCAGCCTGGCCAACATGGTGAAATCCCATCTCTATTAAAAACACAAAAATTAGCCAGGCGTTTGTGGCGGGCGCCTGTACTCCCAGCTACTTGGGAGGCTGAGGCAGGAGAATCGCTTGAACCCAGGAGGCAGAGGTTTCACTGAGCCAAGATCGCACCATTGCACTCCAGCCTGGGTGACAGAGCGGGACTCCGTTTCAAAAAAAAAAAAAAGAAAAAGAAAAAGAAAAAGAAAAACAAATAAGAAAGAAATCTGCATATCTATGAGCCCAAGCACAGACAGTGGGTGAAACAGACACTGAGATATGTTCACGCTGACAGCGGAAGGATCGGGACGACAAGGGGTTGGGGGAAGTTTTTCGCTTTTAATTTTTGTACCCCTCTATTGTTTACCCAGTAAGAATGGTCGGGTATCCCTTTTATAATTAAAGGAAGTAATCCATTGAAGAAGATAAAATAAAGAACATTGAAAAGGATGCGTGCCTATGGTGGGCTTTTCTTTTAGGTAAAAATGATGTCTAGAAAAATGAAAACCAAAATTTCTAACCATACATTTTTTAAAGAAAGAAGTTGGTAAAGATAAAAACATAAATTAGGCCGGGCGCGGTGGCTCACGCCTGTAATCCCAGCACTTTGGGAGGCCGAGGCAGGCGGATCACAAGGTCGGGAGATTGAGACCATCCTGGCTAACACGGCGAAACCCCGTCTCTACTAAAAATACAAAAAACTAGCCGGGCGTGGTGGCGGCGCCTATAATCCCAGCGACTCGGGAGGCTGAGGCAGGAGGATGGTGTGAACCCGGGAGGCAGAGGTTGCAGTGAGCTGAGATCGTGCCACTGCACTCCAGCCTGGGTGACAGAGGGAGACTCCGTCTCAAAACACCACCACCACCACCAACAACAACACACCAAAAACATAAGTTAAAGAAATAGAAAAGAAAGAAGAGCTGAACACTTCACAAATGGAGAGCGGGTGTCTGGTGTTTGATGCGTTCCAGGCGAGTGTAGTCAGGAAAAGGAAGCGGCGTTGTCTGTGGGGTGGGGGCCTGTGGTGTGGCTGCAGCAGCCCCTTCCCTTCAGATGAAGACATTGTTCACGGGTGGACTGGCAGGCAGGACCAAAACAACACCCACAAAACCTGGCAGTCCCACGTAACGTTCTCGTGGCACGGCGGCTGAAGGATGGAATAACCAGAAGCAATTAGACAAAGTAGGTTCAGATCCACAGGCAAGGAATTAACTAACTTCGTTTAATGATGAAATGTGGAGAGACTGGAAGGACACTTTCGCTCTATCTGGGAAGCCGTGAGGCCGAGGGGGCCGTCCCCTTCCTGGGTCCCACAGGGAACCCATCTTCTACCAACCGATCCCAGGTTCGACAGGGTCTCTGGCTTTTCTTTTTATTTTTTTATTTTTTTATTTTATTTTTTGAGACTGAGTCTCGCTCTGTCGCCCAGGCTGGAGTGCAGTGGCCAGATCTCAGCTCACTGCAAGCTCTGCCTCCCGGGTTTACGTCATTCTCCTGCCTCAGCCTCCTGACTAGCTGGGACTACAGGCGCCCGCCACCTCGCCTGGCTAGTTTTTTTTTTTGTATTTTTTAGTAGAGACGGGGTTTCACCGTGTTAGCCAGGATGGTCGCGATCTCCTGACCTCGTGATCCACCCGTCTCGGCCTCCCAAAGTGCTGGGATTACAGGCTTGAGCCACCGCGCCCGGCCTTCTGGCTTTTGTTTGGAGCGCAGCAGGAGGCCCCTGAGGTGCCCATGACGGGGAGAGATGGGAGGCGGCCCGTGTTCTCAGTGGCCACTGTCTCTGCTCTGTGATGAGGGGTTGTCTTGGGGAGGAAAGAACACAGGCGACCGGCCAAGCTGCAGAAACACAGCTTAGAACAGGTCACAATCATGGTAGCAAACGCCGGGGTGGGGAGGTCGGCCCTGACTGAGAGGCCGGGATGGATCCGAGGTACGTCTCCGAGGGGAAAGGAACAGGGCCCGTCACGGGCAGGAGGTGCTGCTGAGGAAAAGCAAGTCTCTGATGTGACTCCTGGCTTCTCACAATGGGGCAACGATCAGAAGGGGAAAGGCGGTGGGTCGAAGCAGAAGTTGCATTAGACACGTGCCAAGATCAGACGCCCGTGACACGGCCAGGAGGTGTGCAGGACACAGCCCATGATGAGACGTGCCATTTAGGCACAGTTAGGGACTGCAGGGTCATATTTAAAATTTCTGGTACACAGATGTTGTGTAAAGAGTGGGAGAGAGGGAGATCGGGAGAGAGTGGAAGGAGAGGAGGAAAAGGGAGAGGAGGGGAGGAGGAGAGGGGAGAAAGAGGAAGAGGGGGAGAAGGAGAAGAGAGAAGGCCTCTACGAGCCTCAGAGCTGATGGATGAGGAGAAGCGTCAAAGTCTGTACAGCTGGGAGGGTAGCAGCAGCAGCTGAGAGGAGGAGGCGTTCAGATGGACGGGATGAGCGGTGCTGAGAGGAGAGGGCGTTCAGATGGACGGGATGAGCGGTGCTGAGAGGAGAGGGGTCAGATGTGGACGGGATGAGCGGTGCTGAGAGGAGAGGGCGTTCAGATGGACGGGATGAGCGGTGCTGAGAGGAGAGGGCGTTCAGATGGACGGGATGAGCGGTGCTGAGAGGAGGGGGCGTTCAGATGGACGGGATGAGCGGTGCTGAGAGGAGAGGGCGTTCAGATGGACGGGATGAGCGGTGCTGAGAGGAGAGGGCGTTCAGATGGACGGGATGAGCGGTGCTGAGAGGAGAGGGCGTTCAGATGGACGGGATGAGCGGTGCTGAGAGGAGAGGGCGTTCAGATGGACGGGATGAGCGGTGCTGAGAGGAGGGGGCGTTCAGATGGACGGGATGAGCGGTGCTGAGAGGAGGGGGCGTTCAGATGGACGGGATGAGCGGTGCCGAGAGGAGAGAGGCGTTCAGATGGACGGGATGAGCGGTGCCGAGAGGAGAGGGCGTTCAGATGGACGGGATGAGCGGTGGATGAGCGGTGCTGAGAGGAGAGGGCGTTCAGATGGACGGGATGAGCGGTGGATGAGCGGTGCCGAGAGGAGAGAGGCGTTCAGATGGACGGGATGAGCGGTGGATGAGCGGTGCCGAGAGGAGAGGGGGCGTTCAGATGGACGGGATGAGCGGTGCTGAGAGGAGGGGGCGTTCAGATGGACGGGATGAGCGGTGCTGAGAGGAGGGGGCGTTCAGATGGACGGGATGAGCGGTGGATGAGCGTGTGAGAGGAGAGGGCGTTCAGATGGACGGGATGAGCGGTGGATGAGCGGTGCTGAGAGGAGGGGGCGTTCAGATGGACGGGATGAGCGGTGCTGAGAGGAGGGGGCGTTCAGATGGACGGGATGAGCGGTGGATGAGCGGTGCTGAGAGGAGAGGGCGTTCAGATGGACGGGATGAGCGGTGCTGAGAGGAGGGGGCGTTCAGATGGACGGGATGAGCGGTGGATGAGCGGTGCCGAGAGGAGAGAGGCGTTCAGATGGACGGGATGAGCGGTGCTGAGAGGAGAGGGCGTTCAGATGGACGGGATGAGCGGTGCTGAGAGGAGGGGGCGTTCAGATGGACGGGATGAGCGGTGCTGAGAGGAGGGGGCGTTCAGATGGACGGGAGGAGCGGTGCGGAGAGGAGGGGGCGTTCAGATGGACGGGATGAGCGGTGCTGAGAGGAGAGGGCGTTCAGATGGACGGGATGAGCGGTGCTGAGAGGAGGGGGCGTTCAGATGGACGGGATGAGCGGTGGATGAGCGGTGCGGGTCGCCATGGGCGCAGAGGGATGATGAGGACAGAACAGCGCCCTCGGGGGCTTGGATGACACCAAGATGTGTCAGGCAGGAGACCCTACCCGGCTTAGAAACTGAATGTCAGCCTGTGAATGTCTCATGGGTGCCGATAAACATACTCCCCACAGTCTGTCCCACTCCCCACAGCCCTGTCCCACTCCCCACAGCCCTGTCCCACTCCCCACAGTCCTGTCCCACTCCCCACAGCCCTGTCCCACTCCCCACAGCCCTGTCTCACTCCCCACAGCCCTGTCACACTCCCCACAGCCCTGTCCCACTCCCCACAGCCCTGTCTCACTCCCCACAGTCCTGTCCCACTCCCCACAGCCCTGTCCCACTCCCCACAGCCCTGTCACACTCCCCACAGCCCTGTCCCACTCCCCACAGCCCTGTCCCACTCCCCACAGCCCTGTCCCACTCCCCACAGCCCTGTCCCACTCCCCACGGCCCTGTCCCACTCCCCACGGCCCTGTCCCACTCCCCACAGCCCATGGCATCTGGCTGTACATGGAAGTGAGGAAGCCGCTGTCTCCCCCCATAGAACGTTGCTCCCAGTCAGGGCTCACCCCCTGTGGGGCAGGGCTCAGAGGCTCCTGGTTCAGAGACCAGGGCCCTTGTCAATTGCAGCGTGAACAGCAGGGTACTTTGCCCCTGAGTCCCACAGCAGGGGTGGGGACCTTGTCATGGTGGGCCCAGGTGACAACACAGGGCCAGCGATTCTTCACCCGGCAGCCAACACGGCGGCAGATGACAAACATTGCAGCCCTTGGCAAACAAAAAGCACACAGCAAACAGTGTGGCCAGTACAGAGACCCTCCCCTCCCCGGGGACCAGGCAGGGCAAGGTCGTCCCCCGAGATGGCCTGCACCCACAGGGCCGCCTGTGTGACCAGCCACAGAACTCACTCAGCATTGGCACCCACAGCCGGGACAGGCAGGGTGCTGGGCCCGTGGTTTCCTGCATCTGCTGATACCACCCAAGGCTGCCAGGCCATAACATGAAGTCATCTGTGCCAGGAAATCCTGAGCCTCGCCCACACCTGGCCCTGGGCCGTCCCTGCATGCCAAGGGGTTGTGGGACCTCGCAGGCCTGCAGGCAGGGGGGTGGGCGCTGGGCTGGGGTCCGAGTGTGCCCCTGCTCTAGGGCATGGCCGGCAGGTGGGGACAGGGAAAAGGAAGGAGCGGGATTCCTGCCTGGCTATGGCAGTCTTACCCCACGGAATCCAGGCTCCAACTGACCTCACCATTGTGCGGGTTAATTTTGATTCTTAAAACCTTCATCTAAAGACCTTTGCTTCCTGTAACACAGGCCTGGGTTTTCCCAAAAGTCGTGGGGACCTGGCCCGGCACGTGCTGCTCAGTGCGGGGACCTCACAGCCTGTTCTATGTGAGCCGGACAGGAAAGGCTCCACGGGCAAACTCACTCTCCGTGACAATCAGGAGGTTTCTGCTCCAGCCACAAGAAGGAGCTAGGGGAGCTCCTGAGGCCAGGAAGAGAACAGCCCTAATCCCATCCTTTCCCTCCTCAGCAGGGACCCCAGGGTCTGCTGTCTTGCCCCAACCCACACTTCAAAGAAGGAAGGACACCTGCCTGCCCCTGCTGCCTCACACCCCGAAGCATGGTGAGCCTGGGGGACCCTCAGCAGAATCCTTTTGTAATGAAGAAAAACAAACTATTGTAAAATAGCAGAAAACAAGCTAATGGCCAAACAAATCCAAGCGGGAGGAAAACACCTGTGAAATACAATGACAGAATATGCTCTCCTCAAAACCCAGGAAACGTTAAAATTAAGAATACACCAAACCTCACAAAACGGGGGCAAAATACAATGATGACCACATGTGTGAAACATGGTCAATGGTAGAATTGAAAGAAATGCAAGGGAAACAAAAGATAAGGGGCCCTTTCCCAGCAAAGTGACAATGCCACAGCAGCCTCGCAGTCAGCCTGGCGGGACAAGAATGCTGGGCAGTGCTGGTTTGCAGGGAGGGGTCGACTTTTCTGGAAGCAGCCCAGCAAAGTGCCCCAAGAGCCGTAAATTATTCCTGTGTTTGCAGCCACAGCCCCGAATGCAGGTCTAGCCACAGAAGCGCTGGAGAGTGGAGGCTGAGAGTGGCGCTGGTTGAAGATTTCTCACAGGAAACACAAGGCACGGCCTCCACGTGGCTCGAGGCCGTGAGAACCCTCGACTCAAACCATTGCACATGGTGAGGAGGACGCGGGTCAGCCGCCCGAGCTGCATGATGATGATGCTGTCAGGGAAAGCGTCGGTGCCTATGTGGGAAAATAGGGGAACGAGAAACAAACGCGAAGCGTGTGGCTCTCGGCTCTGCTGCCCTGGAGGCCGTGGCTCATCTTTTCACCATGAACATGGGTCATTTTCATTTTAAAAAGTCTACTAATGTTTCTAAGGAGACCACACAGAACCAAAAATTCTGAATAACCCCGTCTTCCTGTCTTCCATAAGGCAGGCTTTTCATTTTTGTACCTTTCTGGAAGGGCTGGATACAGAGTCTGCGGGCCTGCGATGGAGGCGCCACCGTCTCACCAGGAGTCCACGGCCCTCGGTCTCTGTGCTCCCTGAACCTAAGGTGAGGAACCCATGCCTTGTGGTTGACGAGGGCTGCTGGGGCACCTGCCCTCTCATCTGCATCCTGGAAGGCAGGAAGGAGCACAGAGGAAAACACAAGCCTGCTCTGGCCAGCTCAGTGTGCGCCTTCCAGAAACAGGTAAACATGAAATTACCCTGTGAAGCCGCCATTCCGTTCCTAGATCTATCCCCAAAAGAAATCCAAGCAGAGACTCAAACACTTGCACAGCCCTTGCCACGGCCCGGATGTACTTAGTGCCTCTGTTCCCAGCAAAACTCTTGTTGAAACAGGACCCCCAGTGTGGCAGCGCAGGGAGATGGGTCCTGAGGGGAGGGAGACGTGCAGGTCGTGGGAGTGACTCCCTGGGGAGTGCCTGGTGCTGGGAGTGACTCTCCTCTTGTGATACGGGGTGAGTTCCCATGGGAATGGATTTGTTCCCATGAGCGGGGCTTGTTCTGAAGCCAACACATCCCTGGGCTTTATCTCTCTTCCCATGTCTGCTTCCCCTTTGACCTCCGCCAGCAGAAGCAGAAGGGCCATGCCATTGAACTTCTCAGCTGACAGAAACGTGAGCTTTATGAATTACTCCATCTCAGAGGTTGTTTTATGGCCACACAGAATGGACTCAGACCCCCGTGCTCATAGCCGTGTAGTCACAATAGCCCAAAGGTGGAAACAGCCAGCAGGTGAGGGGATGTGGAACGGGGCAGACACACACATCGGGGTCTCACCGAGCCTGGAAAAGGAGTGTGCTCTGACACAAGCAGCAACACACCAACCTTCACAACCTCATGCCCAGTGAAGCCAGCTGGTCCCAATAGGACCAACGCGGTGACCCCACAGAGGGAAGGCCCCCAGAGGAGTCAGAGTCAAGAGAAGGACGACCGAATGGTGGTCAGCAGGGCCCGGGGGAGTGGCCGATGGGAGTGAGTGATTAGTCAGGACGGAGCTCCAGTTTCACCCGATGAAAACGTGCTGGAGCTGCATGGTGGTGACAGCGGCATAGCCGTGGGCATGTTCTCACTGCCACGGAATGTGCACTTCCCATGGCGATGATGGGAAATCTCATGTACCCACATTTGACTACAGAGAGGAAGGAAGGAAGGGAGGGGGGAGGGAGGAGGGAGGGAAGGAAGGAGGAGGAAGGGAGAGAGGGAGCAGAGAAAGAAGGAAGGAAGGAAAGAAGGAAGGAAGGGAGGGAGGGAAGAAGGAAGGAAGGACGAAATGGATGGAGGGAGGAAGGAGGGAAGGAGGGAGAGAGGGAGGGAGCAGAGAAGGAAGGAAGGACGAAATGGATGGAGGGAGGAAGGAGGGAAGGAGGGAGAGAGGGAGGGAGCAGAGAAGGAAGGGAGGGAGGGAGGGAGGACAGAAACAAGTAAGGAAGAAAGGAAGGAACGGAAGGAGGGGAGAGTGAGGGAGCGGGGAGGGAGCGGGGAGGGAGGGAAGAAGGAAGGAAGGAAGGAAGGAAGGAAGGAAGGAAGGAAGGAAGGAAGCAAGTGATGGGTTCGGGAGCCATTCTGTGCCTGTCTTTGCTGCTGGCCTGAGGAGCTGGATGGCATGTTGGGAGCAGTGGGAGCTGCTGAGGAGTCTGGTCCCGGAGGGAAGAGGCTGAACGTGCATGTCTGGAGTCACCATGGAGGGCAGAGCTCGAGGGAGCAGCAGGGTGTCCCGGGGAGAAGACGCCAGGGCTGGAATTAGAGGAAAATCGAGGCTGATACTTGGAGGCGTCCGATACTCGGGGCCTGCCTGATGCGCTGCTCTCAGGCGGGATTCGGGGGTGGGAGAGGGATCAGTGCCCAAAGGACCACCGGGCCTGTGGCCTGTATGCCCAGTCAGGTGACGACGCCATTCAGAAACTAGATCTCATGGGGCTGCCCGGATGCTGAGTCTCAGGCCAGATCTGCAGTGAGTGCGGTGCCCTAGGCCTGGAACACTGGTGCCGCCATCGGGACCCAATGCTGGCGCACCCAGGGGCTCTGGGTCTGAAACAGAGGTCAGAGGTCACCGACATGTGGAGGAGGCCCCTGGAGTGTGGGAGACGGAAACTCCAGGTGTCAGGCTTGGCGGGAGACTTTGCAGGACTGAGCAGGTGGGGAGGAAGGGCAGGGATTGTGGCTGCCGGAGGAGAGAGGGCACTGGGGGTGGCTCGGCCTGACGAGGCTGCTTGAAGGAGACACCCTTGGAAACTGACAGGGCTGTGGGCACTCCTGGGAGCAGGAGGAGGGTGGCCTGTCCTGGGCAGCCCAGGCTCTCCGGGCTGTGTGGCCCCAGCTCCCTGAGCCCAGAGGGAGGTGAGGGTAAGAAGGCCTGGACCAGGCAGGACGCAGCCCCCAGGGCCCCTGCTTGGAAGAGGTCAGAAGCTCCCATGGACTCAGAAGGCAACTGAGGACGGAGCTGCTCTCTGCATCTCCAGGGAGGACAAAGGAGGCCGTGGCAGCAAGGGGACAGGGCAGAGGGGAAGGCCGGCAGGTGGATGTTGGCAGCTGCAGATTCCCATCCAGTATCCTGGAGGAGGAAACCCAGGGTTGAGTCCTAGGAGACCCAGGCAGCCTGGTCAGCCTGGAGGCTGACGGTGGGCCCAGGAGATCTGGGAAGGACATCAGTGTCTCCACAAAGAACAGCAGGGTCTCAGACCCCAGCAGCCGCAGCCCCCACAGCTGGGGCCGCAGCCTTGAGAGCCACCACAGCAGCCCATTGGTCTAGGGGGTCAAAGGTGGAGGCTGTCAGAGGGGCAGTGCAGGGGCTGCTGGGGTGAAGTCCCCTGTAGTGGGACCACCCATCCTGCTGTGACTCTGCCCTCCTGGACCCCCTGCCCTCCTGGACCCCCTGCCCTCCTGGACCCCTGTCTGTGGCCCCTGCTCCTCTCCTTCCCTGACACACGACTGGGTCCCCGATCTGTAGCCGGGGTCTGAGCACCTGGGGCCCTGTGGGCCTCTCGGTGTCTGGGGACAATCACAGGTTCCCGTGCCCATGCCCAGCCTCTGCTTCCAGAACACACTAGAGGGTCCCAGCATCCTGATGACTCCACTGTCCCCGCGATGGTTTTCAGGGATGGAGAAGGCTCCCTGTCCTCCACAGGAACCCTGCAGCAGGGCTGACGGCCTGTGTACCCCACCACTCGCCCAGGGGCCCCAGACCCTCCCCCATCTCCACCGCTAACCCAGGCCCAGGCTGCCCACCCGGGGCCAGGCCGTGAGCTGCCGTCCCCAGATGGGGCCGCCCTTGGCTGGCCTAGCTCACTCCGTGTCACAGATATTCCCACAGAGACCCCAGCGAGACCTGCAGAACATTACAGCAAAATGAAGGAGAGCCAGAGGAAGAGGCAGATGTGCTGGCCTGTAAACAGTCTGATTTCCAATGTAAACCAGATTCAGGCCACGACATCAGGTAAACATCTGCATCACAGCCCCGGGGCCCCACCGCCCGGGAGGCCCCGGGGTCCACACGGCCGACTCTGGGACCCGTCACGGTGACCGCTGAGACATTTCGCAATTAGGCAGAATTGATCCTTGCATTCCTTCCCTAAATCCCACATCTCTGCAATTTCACTTCTTCTCAAAAATGAAAACATTTGGCAATTAGCTGATCCAAGTGAAAAAGGTAGAGAATGTGCTCTCAACTGGAAAATGCCAATTAAGGAAGCAGCTCTGACTTCCCACCCGCCCTGGCTAAGCTGGGAGCTTATCTTCCCCGAGAGGAATCTGCTGGGATAAGGGGGCTTGGGAAACATCGAGGGCAGGGCTGCCTCCTCAGCTTCCTCTGAGAACGGATTAGCCATGGCCTTGCACCAGCGTGGCCTGGGTGCCGCACGGGGTGGCGGGGTAGCTGGGCCTGGCTCTGGCATTGGGACTTGGGGTGGTGGGACCCAGTGGGCCACCCTCTTGTGGGCAGCACTGAGGGCGGTGACATAGGCAGCGAGTGCTGGTGTCTGTCCCTCCAGCTGGCCGGGCTCCCCACTGGGCTCCTGCAGCCCTGGACCTCAGGGCCCATTTGCGGTGCAAGGGGGCTCTTGCCGGTCTCCACTCCTAAATGTTTTGCATTGAAAATGCCCCTTTGTTTGTTTTCTTGTGTTCCATTTATTTGTTCTGTATGCTTTTTTACTTAATTTAAATAATTTTAAAATGTGAAATAATTAAGTAACCCCAGAAGCTCAAACTTTCTGTTCTCCACTCACCGAGTCCGTGAATTCTGTCTCCTTCTTCCTGTGGTTTCTGTTTGCAACAATAATGGAATAGCTGCATGTCTTAATGTTTTTTATTCAAAAAGTGGCATATGATGTATGTTCTGTTTATCAAGCTCCTGATTTCTTTTAAAGATTTTATTTTGAAATCATTACAGACTTACAGGAAGTCTCAAAGCTAGTACAGAGATTCCCATACACCCTTCACCCAGTTTTCTCAATGGCTTCGTCTCCCCTAACTGGAGCGTGTGTCTAAGCCAGGAAGCTGCCCTTGCTGCCGTGTATGTGTCTGGATTTTTTATGCCATGTTGTAGGGTGTGGGAATTTGTGTCCACACCGCCAGGAACAGGACACAGAGCTGTCCCACTGCCATGGCCATCTCTGGGACTGCCCCATCCCGGAGACCCATTGCCCGCATTCCCGTTCCTTCCTCCTCACACCCTCTGGCCTGTTTCCTACGGCCATAAATCCTTCATGTTGCAAGTGCGATGTAAATGGAATGCGTGGGACCCTTTCAGATGGGCTCTTCACTCAGGAACATGCCCTTGAGACCATCCAAGCTGTTTCCTGTGTCAATAGTTTGTTCCTTTTTACTGATAAGTAGCCTCCCTTGGTCGGAAAGGACCGCTGTGTTTACCATGCACCTTCTGAAGCCTTTGACTATTACAAATAGAGCTGCCGTGAACAATCGCGTGTAGGTGTTTGTGTGGCCATAAATCTTTCTTTCTCTGGGACAAATGCCCAGGAGGGTGACTGCTGGGTCAAATGGTCAGAATCCGTTTCCATTTTTTAAGAAACTGTCAAACTCTTTTCCACGGTGGATGCACCGTGTTACATTCCACACGTAGCGAACGTGGTAAAGTTTCTCTGAATCTCTGCCAGCATTTGGTCTTGTCCTTACATTTTGCGTTAGCTGTTCTAATAGGTATGGAGGGACACTGGGCCGCAGTCCTAACGTGCGTTTCCCTGGGGCCACGCGTGTTGAAGGCCGTTTCGTGCCTTCGTCTGCCATCTCCACCTCCTCTCCGTGATCCTTCTTTCATTGGATTATTTGGCTCTGTTTTGTTGAGTTTTGAGAGTTCTTCTTATATTCCAGATACAAGTCCTTTGTCAGACATGTGTTTTGCAAATATTTTCTCCCAGCCCACAGCTTATCTTTTCATCCATCCTAACAGGACCTTTCACAGCATAAAAGATTTTAATTTCAATGAGCTCTAATTCATTGATTTTAAAAATATATGAATCATGCTTTTGATGTTATATCTAGGAAGTCCTTGCCAAGCCCCAGGCCCTGGACTCTTTCTTCTATTCTAAAAGTGTTACTGTTTTTGATCCAGTTTGAGTTAATTTTCTTTTTCTTTTCTTTTTTTTTTGATACAGAGTCTTACTCTGTCTCCCAGGCTGGAGTGCAGTGGTGTGATCTTGGCTCACTGCGACCTCCAACCCTCAAGGTTAAGCAATTCTCATGTCTCAGCCTCCCAAGTAGCCTGGATTATAGGTGCCTGCCACCATGCCTGGCTAATTTTTGTTTATTTATTTATTTATGTATTTATTTATTTTGAGACAAGCCTTTCTCTGTTGCCCAGGCTGGAGTGCAGTGGCATGATCTCAGCTCACTGCAACCTCTGCCTCCTGGGTTCAAGAGATTCTTCTGCCTCAGCCTCCCAAGTAGCTGGGATTACAGGGGTCTGCCACCACGCCTGGTTAACTTTTGCATTTTTCGTAAAGACAGGGTTTCACCATGTTGGCCAGGCTGGTTTCAAACTCCTGACCTCGTGATCTGCCTGCCTCGGCCTTCCAAAGTTCTGGGATTACAGGCATGAGCCACCGCGCCTGGTCCAATTTTTGTATTTTTAGTAAAGATGGGGTTTCACTATGTCAGCCAGGCTGGTTTCAAACTCCTGACCTCAAGTGATCTGCCAGCCTCGGCCTCCCAAAGTGCAGGGTTTACAGGCGTGAGCCACTGCGCCCAGCCCCAATTTGAGTTAATTTTCATATGAACATGTAGGTCTAGGGCCGGTTTTGAACCCATGAGTCTGCTCTAGCACAGCTTGTTGGGAAAGTAGCTCTTCTGGCTCTGATGGTTCTTGGTCCCTTGTGGGAGGCCAGTGACCGTGATCCTGGGGGCCTGCACGCCCCTGTACCCGCACTCTCTCTCTTCCCTGGGGTCACACTCTCTTTTTTTCATTTTCTAATTTTTTAATTTTAATTAATTTTTTTTTTAAATTTTAGAAATGAGATCTCACTATGTTGCCCAGGCAGGTCTAGAACTCTAACCTCAAGAGGTCCTCCCTCCTCGGGCTCCCAAAGTACTAGGATTACACGCGTGAGCTGCTGTGTCCCCCCTCCACGGTGACACTCTGGATTACGGTAGCTTTTGAGTAACTCTTAACATTGAGTAGCTTCCTCCTTTCTTCTTCTTTTATCATTTAGCTATTCTAGTTCCTTTGCCCCTTTGTATACATTTTAGAATCAATTTATCTAATAAAAAATATTTTTGATATTTTGGTATTTTGATTAATATGTATTCCTGGTATTTTTGATAAAAAATCTATCTAGATCAATTTAGGAAAATCTAAATTAAAATATAAAAGCAATCAACGTCATTTACTACATTAATATTTATCGAGAAAATCTATATAGATGACACCCAAAACTATTCCCTAAAACTTAGTCCCTCTGTGAATTTTAAAGTTTTTCTTTTTCTAAACATTATTCCATAAAAAGTGCGAGAATTAATATTCATACTTTTAGCCCATTTTTCTACTGAGCTGCTATTGATTTATATAATCAATCTGGGTATTAGAGATATAAATTTTTATTGTTATATGTGTAAGAAACATTTTCTCTGAATCTGTACTGTCATTTTTACTATGATTTTCAATAAAGAAGTGTTTCCTTTTGAAACAGTGAAATCTCCTGGACACTCCGTTAACAACGCTTGCATTTCACACCATGCTTTCGAGGCCCCCCAATATCAGGACTACATTCTCCACGTGTCCTTCCAGGAATTTTGTGCTTTTATTTTTCTGTTTGGATTTGGATTCCTCTTGGATTTGCTCTGTGTCTCAGCTGAGATGGGACTGCCTTGCTGCAGGTGCCTGATTCTGTTGTTACGTCCTCTGCAGCAGGCCCTGTCTCCTGCTGGCTCAGACACCCCGTCCACAGGGTGCCGAGTTACACTGAGAAGGCTGCCAGGGCCCGGGTCCACTTCCTCCTTCTATTTATGTAGTCCAGAAGCAAGGCAGTGCTGTTTTAATTACTGTAGCTTTATGGTCTATTCTGACAGCTGTCTGGGAAATCACCACTCATTCTTCTTCCTTTATATTTTGCTTTTAAATTTTTAATGGCTATAAAAATTTTTAAATATTGTAAAGACATCCTCCCAAAATTTAATGGTTACACTTGCCTATACATTTTTGATGAGAATTTTGAGAAAACTTGGCAAGATAAAAGTAATTATTTATTTTAATTGGAATATAATTAAATCCATAGGTTGATTTTTAGAGACCTGAAGTTATAAGTATTCTCAATCAAGAAACCTGTTATAGCTCTCCATTTGTTTACAACTTATGGGTAGGAGGCTTTTTCTTTTTTGAGATAGGGTTTCGCTCTTGTTGCCCAGGCTGTAGTGCAATGGTATAATCTCAGCACATTGCAACCTCCACCTCCCAGGTTCAAGTGATTCTCCTGCCTCAGACTCCTAAGTGTTGGGATTACAGGCATGAGCCACCATGCCCAGCTAAGTTTTTGTATTTTTAGTAGAGACTGGGTTTCGCCATGTTGTCCAGGCAACTCCCGACCTCAAGTGATCCAGCCGCCTTGGCCTCCCGAAGTGCTGGGGTTATAGGCATGAGCCACCGTGCCTGGCTGCCCATAGAATTCTATAATTTTAAAATTATAAATGGGAAATGTTGTCACGTGATATTTTCTCTACATGGTGTCCAGAAAATCCGTTGATTTATAATGTTGTATCTTTACTCAGCTTTTGTTCTAGTTGTTGCATTTCTTCCTTGTAAATATTTTGAACTGTATTTACTTTTTAGTTTGTCCCAATGCTATCATTCAAAACAATGTTTAATAAGACAGGTAGTAGCTGCTTCTCCTAATGTTTCACTTCTATGTGACATTTATTATCACTTCCCGAGGGATATTCTTCAGAAGTTAGATATTAATAGCTTTTCAAGTATTTCTTTTTTTCTAACATGCACGAATGCTGAACTGTAAGTTTTTGAACTTTGTTGAATTTTACCAGCTTTTGGAGCTAATACTTGAGTAGTCATAGGTTTCATCATTTGTGAAATTCCAGAATTACATAAATAGACTAGCTGCTATCTTCCTGCCTTGCTGGAATAAACCATACTTGAACTCAGTGCCTGGCACATAGTAGTTGCTTAATAAATATCGGTTGTGTAAAATGAATGAAGGGGCAAGAACATGGAGAAAACCACCTCTGTGGTTCAGGCATGAAGAGCCTGCTGCAACGGAGGTGTAGGGGCACTGAGAAAACCCTCCCTGGGGCCGGGCGCGGAGGCTCACAGCTGTAATCCCAGCACTTTGGGAGGCGGAGGCGGGGGGATCACGAGCTCAGGAGTTTGAGACCATCCTGGCCAACATGGTGAAACCCTGTCTCTAATAAAATACAAAAAAATTAGCCAGGCGTGGTGACGCACACCTGTAGTCCCAGCTACTTGGGAGGCTGAGGGAGGACGATGGCATGAACCTGGGAGGTGGAGCTTGCAGTGAGCTGAGATCACGCCACTGCACTCCAGCCTGGGTGACAGAGCGAGACTCTGTCTCAAAAAGGAAAGGAAAGGAGAGGAGAGGAGAGGAGAGAGAGGAGAGGAGAGGAGAGGAGAGGAGAGGAGAGGAGAGGAGAGGAGAGGAGAGGAGAGGAGAGGAGAGGAGAGGAGAGAAAACCCTCCCTGGTCCCCAGTCCCGGGCTGCAG